TTGCTCACGTCGCATTTCCTCTTGGTTACATTTTGTTTATAGTATCTAAATATCGTAAATATGATTTTATAAAAACACATTAAGTTGACAGTGTTTTATTGCACTATACATAAAATAAAAACTTATCATTATAAAATAAGTTATAAATAAAATAACCCATAGTTGAACGTGTTTTGTTGACAAATATTTAAATAAAATCTTTATTCACAAAACATGCATAATGTCTTTGGATGTTTTATTGTTTTAAAAATCCCCCTCCTCTTTACCTTTATGAAATAACAATTTTTTTTATTTTTATAATGATAGGTAGTTCAAAAATGGCGATCTATTACATTTTATAGGGATCTATTACTTTTTTTTGTAAAATCTGTTACGCTTTTTTTTTCGCTGGGAACAACACTGACCATGATGAATGAAACACGAAGATCAACCATATTTGTCTTATGAGTCTATCGAAAATATCATGTCTATAGACTTGATATTAACTCCTTTTTCTATGTTGGAAACAATGAAAGCATGTTAAGCGCATCGTATGTATAAAATTATAATTGTTATAATTATTACATCTTACCTATGATAGTATATAGGTTATAGTTAATAAATACTTGTGTATGTTTTATTTTACGATAACCAAATACAACCTCTATTATTTCGGATATTTATTTTTATCGACATAGGTATGTACCTACCATTTCTCTACTAAAGTCTCATTAAGTCTTAAAAAGTCTTATTAACTCTTCCAGAAGACTCCCAAATCTTGCTATTAGTCTGACTTAATAAGACTTATTCAGACTTTTTCCGACTTAATAAGTCTTATTCTGACTTTTTCCGACTTAATAAGTATTATTCAGACTTTTTCAGAGAAAGTAAGACTTTCCCAGAGAAAAATTTCCACAAGGGTATATATAAAAAGAGGTATAGAAAAGGTAGGTATAAGAACTAGGGTTCATAGAAAAAGAATATACAAGGTAAAAGAAGAGACAAAGAAATTTATTTACACCTGTAAAAGCATAGAAATTAAATATAAATAGGTAAAAACACATTTTAAAAATTATAGGTTATGAACAAGTAAACAAATGTCAAATGTTAGAAACCTAACCATGGTTATATGAATTAACTGTGACGTCATGACTTATTTAACCGTAGTATTTCATAGTATTTACGCGAAAAAACGACTTAACTCTTTCAAAATTTGTTTCCTTTTTAATTCTATTGTTTACCAGATTTATGGATAAAAACCGAATTTACTGGAAAGAAATCGTGGAAAATTAATGTTTTTAGTAACATTCTTAACTTTTGAAGTTCAACAAAATTTTGTATTGACCAAAAATCTTGAATTGAAAGTTCCTATTTAACGTGTAATCGTGTAAAAATTCTTGGCCAAGAATCTGGTCAAATTCTGGTCACAGACTTGTCCAAGTCTGCCACCAGTCTGGATAAAGAATTTTGATCAAGAGTCTTGGTCAAGAATTGTCCAATTCTTTACAATTACACTTTAAAGTGCTTCTCCAAGTACATTGACAAAGAATCTTGTCCAATTCCATTGCAATGGAGTCAGTACATGGATGTCCCAAGGACGTCCTACGGATGTCATCCTTGGCCCTGGACCTCCCAGGGCTGTCCTACAATTTCCCATGGACCTCCATAGGACGTCCATGGACTTCCAAATGGTGCACTTTTGTATGTCCAGAGACCGTCCCACTGAGGGTCAAAATTGACCTTATATGGATGTAATTGGCCCTTATGTGGATGTTTAAATAAAACCCATAAAATATGTAAAAATAACTTTATTTTTGTGAAAAAGTAGATAAAAAATTTAAAAACAAACTGATAAAAACTGTAAAATAAATTATTGTACTTATAAATTTGCACTTTTTGACCTTCTTTGAACTTTATTTCCATTTCGGCCTTTGCACTGTTTGAGCCATGATTTTATCGCCATTTCAACATTTAGCAGCTTTTTTACTGCAGCTGGAATCATATTATTTTGGTGAAAAAATACATACAAATTGATAAACTTACTGATTACAGCCTGTTGTAACAGGCTATAGGTAAATACTTAAATTTTGAAAACTTTTCTTTTCATTTCTCTTTCCTTTAAAGTTATTGTGAGGCATCTTTTTATTGCTTCATAGGGTTTCTCCCCTCCAGTATTATATAAGAAGTCCACCTATAAAAATTGTAAAGTTGGTCGCAAACATTACATAGGTATATGCATATTATACAGACTGTATAGAATCAAGTAAGTAAGGTTGGAGACAAGGATGACAAATTATATTCTGATCAGAGAAAAAGAAACAAACTTTAATTGGGCGTGGTTTAAACCAAGCCATTCGTAATTACGAACCATAGTTGCCAGGTTGTTTTAAATCAGAAGAGAACGATTTTAATTATTTAATAAATAGTTCAATTTTATTTGTTTGAAACTTTAAAAATAACAAAAAAATAATAATATGTCAAAAATAATTTTATTCAGTTAATTTTCTTACTTTTAACATTAAAAAATAAGAAAAACAACCCTTTTAGGAAACAATAATAGCATATGGCAACAGCGCGGCATGCAGCCGGATTGTAGCTACACTGGGTAAAGGCCTATTTTGAAACATATTTTGAAATAAAGTTTGTATTTGGCGATACGATCTACCAGTGTGATGCCATACCATAATTTGGTATTTTTCCTCACGGGTTAAAACTATTTTATTTGAGAAAATACTTTTTTATTCTTACAAAGACGTACGCAAAGTCTCAGTGCACTTCTTAAACTGACGCACAGATCATACGACAACAGTATTGCCAGATGTAAAAGTTGAAATTATCAAATTGGGTTAATAAAATTATCGAATTTTCGGAAAATTATGTTACAATAATTGTAATAATTATATTACAATAATTATTATAATTTAATCATAAAAAAAGTGAAAGAAGCAGGGTTAAAAATATTATCGATTTTTTGAAAAATTATAAAATTTGTTAAAAATACTATAAAGCTGGATTTATAGTTCAGAAAGTAGCGGTAGCGGTAATGGCGGCCCCTCGCATAAACACTAAACTTACAAGGCGAGGCTGTCAACTAAAAACTGCCATGTGATTGACTGGAGTAGCGGTTGAGGTAAGAAAAGATGAAAGATGGTCATCTCTTGCCTCCACGTTCTTGCCTCTACTTCCCTTAGCCTCTGACAACTATAAATTGTTTCATATAGGTAATATTCAATGCCCAACTTGGTTACCGCTACCGCTGCCTCTACCGTTACCTTTAGAACTATAAATACCGTACGGGAATCTATAAACAGCACTACGGTATTGTTGATGTTTTACGGGAGGAAGGAAGGAAATCTATGAATCAGGCTATGCTTAATTAAATTAATTAATCTGGATAGAATTAAATTAATTTTGTCCAGATACTTGGATTAAAAATTATGTTACAATTATCGATTATGTTACATATAATTTTCAAGCTTTGTTTTTAGAAAAATTTATGTTACAATTCGATACTTATGTTACAAGTGGCAACACTGTACGACAATGACACGGCAAGCAAACGAATTCAATCCCTACCACAGTGGGCGGGGTTTTATTTAAGTGTATCTATTCGTTTTAATACACACTGTATATGTTACTTATTCATAAATTAGGGTGGTGCTTACCTATAGGTATATGTATACATTTTTATTATTCATTAGCACTAAAAAGCACAGAACTACGAACCGGTGACCGGTCTTTTATCGAAAATCACAAAATGGCGAACACGGTGGAGCATCCAGAGTCTCTGATAAAGAAGGCATCTGGTTTGTGCGGTGAGGAAGCAGCGCAACGTTGCCAGGTTGGGCGATTTGAGAACTGTCAATCGGTCTAAAAATTTAAAATTGGCGACAATATGGGCGAGTTCAGATAATTTTTTATAAAAACCTTCTTTATTTGCTGCTTTTAACAGTTTCTATTTACTTATTTGTTTTTATACCCACTCAGTTTTTAAAAAATTGCGCGAATGTTATTTTTACCAATCAGGTTTTATACAATCTCGTTCATATTGGATAAAGCTAGTAGATATAAATATTTATCTACATGCCCTAATCTTTGACTCTTTGTTGGTAATTCTGATGCCAGTTTGGCAACTTGTAAAAAAAATGGCAACACTGCCAACGCTGTACAGTAAGCTAAATTTAGACGTAATTTTGTTTATTTTAAAACCTTCTTTATATCTGTTTGACATGTTTGATATAAAAATATTAAATATTAGATTCTGCTCAAAAATATATTGATTGATTTATCAAAAAAATGATTTTTGTTTTTTTTTTCTTTTCAATGTTTTATATTACATAAATTTTATGTTTTAATACAAATATATTGAATAATTTTAATCAATTAAATGGAATACAAATCTTATTTTTGCTCCCTAGAAAAAATCAAACATTGTCCTAAACAGATGTTCGGTGGATATCCACAGGATGTCCAACTCGGAACGGCCGAAATAGACTTAATAAGGAGATCCGTGGGAAATCCACAGTATGTCCAAGTCGGAACGTTCCAAATGGACCTAATCAGGAGGTCCATGGGAAGTCATGTGCTATCTGGGTGCTACTAGGGAAGGTACTCGGTCGGTATGTTATTCCTACTATACCAAGATACATACACTTATACATATTATAACGACCGACTTTGATACTTTAAACTTTGGGTTCCTCAGCTTCAAGCGTAAATTTGTAGAGGGCGTTGGTGTGTATCCCAGGCTAGCAGAATAAAAAATGTAGAGACCGCAAAATAAATGCAATTTTTCTGCTGATGATACGTGTGGTGCTGAGCACCACCATTTTCCTTTACGTGTAGTGCTTGAGCCCGCGAGCACCGCTATTGTCGCCGGCCCTGCACAAATCCCACGTATTTCCAACGTTTTATAATACGTAAATCCCACGTTGTATTATAATTATAACTTGAAAACTATAGTTAGTACAAAAAAATTGAAATTTTTTGGGCTCTTCTAAGGATTAAATAAAAATTTAAAGTTTTTACAAAATTAACTTTATTACAAAAATACAAAAAAAACTTAAACATTACGACTTTAATAAGGAAGTAATTACATTATTATTTAAAATGCATTATAGGCATAAGTCCAATATTTTTAGATGATGTTTTAACTTTTTTTTTTGAACTTTTCCTTTTTGTTGGTTTTGTCTTTTTGCGTGTACTACGTTTGTACTTTTTGCATCCAACATTTACTTCTGTAGATTTTCTTTTACTACCTTGACTTGATTCTCTTTGCATCATGCTTGAACTTTCTTGAGAAGATTTTATTTTATCCCGTTGTTCTCTATATTTTAAGGTAATTGGTAAAAAATATTTTCCATATTTGGCAAAATTAGCCTTTGTAACATGCTGGATTTTGAAAAATTCTTCCTCACTTTTTGGCAAAAGTTCTGCCATACTTTGTATTGCAGACAAATTCATGATTGAAGACATAGTAACACAATTTTGAACTGCCAATTTACTAACTTCAGCTAACAGTTCTTCATGGCAGTTTAAGAAAATTTGATTTAATTCAAAATTATATGTAACATTAACTGTGGACGTCATTGTAGAAGATGTTACAATTTCAAGTGATGTTTTTTTAATTTCGACTGCTTTACTCTCAACAAGACACATTGGAATAGTAAATTTAACATTTGAATTTATAGATTGAGAACCTGGTCTTATATATACTACAGGAAAATCACCAGTGTATGTGCAAAAATTGGATAGAATATTTTTTAAAAGCAATTCTTTTAATATCCTTTGTATATCATTTTTATCCAATTTGTTGCCTGCACCATAAAATCTGTGTTTATCATGACCTTTCATAATTATTTTTTTAATTTTAGATCCCTTATATATTTCTGCAATGTGTAGCAATGTTACATTTTCTTTAGTGGCAATGTCTTTAACTAACAAAAATAGTTCTGTAGCTTCTTTACTAACATCCATATTTTTTATATTCTGTTACATTTTCACAATTATCACAAATGGTATCTTTATCTTGTAAACAGAGTTTTTTGTCAAAATATTCTCCCAAATGAACTAGTTGCAAATACCTTCTACAGTCAACTTTATTTTCAGCATAAGAAACCATTTGCTTTAAGCTTTCAAAATGACCGTCTAATGTATGCTTTTTCATAGATCTATCCATAGTTATTAATTTTTGAAGTCGAACTACATCATTATAGTTATAAAATAAATAAGAGTATGAAACCTTCCCATCTCTTCCTCCTCTACCTGATTCTTGATAAAAAGCTTCCACTGATTTAGGTATGGAGTTATGAATTACAAACCTAACATCAGGCTTATCTATTCCCATACCAAAGGCAATTGTAGCTACAATAACATGAAATTGATCTTGCATCCATTCCCTCTGTTGCTTTTCTCTTGCTTTGTCAGCCATTCCAGCATGATAGGGTTTAGCTTTGATACCTACCCTACATAAATCTTTTGCTAAATTGTCACAATCAGCTCTACATAAACAGTAAATTATTCCAGATTTTTTTAAAAATTTTGATTTAATCAAGGCAGCAATTTCATTTATCACATTTTTTCCACTTTTTGGAATAACCTTGTATTTAATGTTAGGTCTATTAAAACTCCGTATAAATGTCTTGACATCCTTTAGGTGTAAAATATTAACAACATCACCTTGTACTTGTTTTGTAGCAGTAGCTGTTAAGCATATAATAGGCACTTTAGAAAACTGTCTCCGAATTAAAGATAATTGTTTGTAATCTGGTCTAAAATCATGACCCCATTGGGATAAGCAATGAGCTTCATCAATTACTACTCTTGCCAACTTATCTCTCTCATATAAGTTTTTTAACATGTCTAAAACTTTGCAGGATGAAACAATTTTCTCAGGTGTCAAATAAAGCAATTTTAGCAAAGGTTCTCTCACACAAAGCTTGTTAAAAATTGTATTGGTATCACTTTTTGAAACATCAGAACATAAATGTGCCGATGGAATATCCAGGGCATTTAATTTGTCTACTTGATCACTAATTAATGCTCGTAAAGGTGAAATAACAATTGTGACACCTGGTGCAAGGATAGCAGGAAGTTGATAGCATAAGCTTTTTCCACCTCCAGTTGGCATAAGAACAAATATATCATGACTATTTAAACTAGCATTTATAATTTCTCTTTGATGTGGTCTAAATGATTGAAGACCAAACTTATGATTCAAAGTTTCAAATACAATTTCAGAATGAGGATAGGTCCCTTGAAATTCTTCAGAATCATCTTTTCTTCTATTAAATTGATTTAATACAGAACTCTGTGTTTGTAAATTATTTTTATTACATTTAGACTCTTCTTTACTATCAAAATGTTCTTCCCAATTAATATCTGACAAATCAAAATCATTTAAAGTTATGCCTTTCATTTCTTCTTCCGAGCTCTTATTAAAACTATATTCTAGATTGTTGCAGTTCAAGTGCAACTGATTTGAAGTTTCTCCATTTCCAAACCTCCTTTCAAATTCTTCATCATCCATAAAATCTTCTTTTGAAGGATTTAAAGAACTATTTATTATAGTTACTTTATTAGTATTACTTATTTGAGATGACTTTGCCTTAGTTTGTTGTACATCTATATAACCTTCTTTTGAAGGATTTAAGGAACTATTTATTATAGTAACCTTATTAGTATTGTTTATTTGAGATGACTTTGCTTTATGTTGTATCGGTTGTACTGAGTTTTTTAAATCTACTGGATCTACTCGCTTAAAAACATATTTTGATTTTGAATTTCCTTCTGGATGGTTTTGTATATATTCCTCATTGTTTAAAATTTGCTTATTATTGTGATTTAAAGAGTTAAATTCATTTTTTTTAGAGCCAATGGTTTCTTTTCCATTTATTTTAAATGATTTTTTAAAACAGAATTTTTTAGATTCACACTTTTTTACATCTTTAAATGCCTGATGAAACTCCTCAAATTTATCTCCCATTATAATATCGTATTTTTGAGGCATAACCGCCTATTTTTTTTTTCAAAATAAACTATCCTTTATGCACAATTATTGTACAGGCAAATTCATCTTCTTAACGATGTATGAATATTTGTAAAATTATCTGGTTTTCACAGAACAGATGTCCATATAACAAGAATATGATGATCATATTATGATCATCATTGTTATCTTATAAATTATTTTTGGTTAAATAACTGTCAATACTAGTTCTTCTTCTTCTTCAGGGTCTGTCTGTGGCGTTTAAGCCGGGTCTACAATTGTCGCAGGTTCACACTGGGGAAAGTGGTATAGCCAAGGACAAACATATTGTGACCAGGGTTGGGTATCTACCTACATTTTTGATTTCGACATGTAGAAAACCTTTTCTCGATTTTTATGTAAGAATGTCATATTCTCGCACGCAAAATCGTTGAAGAATGAAGCTCATTCTTAAACGATTTTTGGTAACATTTAGTTTTTAAGTATTGGTACCCCCAAAATGTCAAACTGATTAATAACCTCAAATTCATTACTTTTATTGAAAATGAAGCCTTTATTATTGTTTTGTAATATAAAGTTTGCTCCAACAATGCATTTTAATGCAAAATTTTAAGTTTAATGTGTAAAAGTGCAGTTCAGGTTGTACTTGTGCAGGATAACAAATATTGTCATTTTGTGTTGCCAACTGACATTTTGCGAGAAAAATCCCCTAACTAACAACGACCACAAAACAATTAAAAAAACCTAAATAAAAGTTAAAATCGAGAAAATAGTATAAATCACACGTTGCAGAAGGCTATTCTCGCACTCATTCGTTCGTCCACTCGCTCCTTCGTCGCTCGAGGCCAAATTTCGAATTCGTGCGAGAATATGTGGCCTTCTGCAACTTGTACTTTAATATACTATTCTCGATTTTTATGTAAGAATGTCATATTCTCGCACGCAAAATCGTTGAAGAATGAAGCTCATTCTTAAACGATTTTTGGTAACATTTAGTTTTTAAGTATTGGTACCCCCAAAATGTCAAACTGTTTAATAACCTCAAATTCATTACTTTTAGGATTATTTATAATAGCTTTGTTTGTTATCCTGCACTAGTGCAACCTGAACTACACTTTTATTGAAAATGAAGCCTTTTAATGCAAAATTTTAAGTTTAATGTGAAAAAGTGCAGTTCAGGTTGTACTTGTGCAGGATAACAAATATTGTCATTTTGTGTTGCCAACTGACATTTTGCGAGAAAAATCCCCCAACTAACAACGACCACAAAACAATTAAAAAAACCTAAATAAAAGTTAAAATCGAGAAAATAGTATAAATCACACGTTGCAAAAGGCTATTCTCGCACTCATTCATTCGTCCACTCGCTCCTTCGTCGCTCGAGGCCAAATTTCGAATTCGTGCGAGAATATGTGGCCTTCTGCAACTTGTACTTTAATATACTATTCTCGATTTTTATGTAAGAATGTCATATTCTCGCACGCAAAATCGTTGAAGAATGAAGCTCATTCTTAAACGATTTTTGGTAACATTTAGTTTTTAAGTATTGGTACCCCCAAAATGTCAAACTGATTAATAACCTCAAATTCATTACTTTTATTGAAAATGAAGCCTTTATTATTGTTTTGTAATATAAAGTTTGCTCCAACAATGCATTTTAATGCAAAATTTTAAGTTTAATGTGTAAAAGTGCAGTTCAGGTTGTACTTGTGCAGGATAACAAATATTGTCATTTTGTGTTGCCAACTGACATTTTGCGAGAAAAATCCCCTAACTAACAACGACCACAAAACAATTAAAAAAACCTAAATAAAAGTTAAAATCGAGAAAATAGTATAAATCACACGTTGCAGAAGGCTATTCTCGCACTCATTCGTTCGTCCACTCGCTCCTTCGTCGCTCGAGGCCAAATTTCGAATTCGTGCGAGAATATGTGGCCTTCTGCAACTTGTACTTTAATATACTATAGTCGTTTTTTCGCGTAAATACCATGAAATACTATGGTCATTAAACTTAACCTTGGTTAATAGTAAAGGCATTTTTGCGTTTAGAGTGCGTTCAAAAATCCTAACTATGACGTCACAAATACCAGACCATAAAACTATATCGCTGAGCTAGTTATTCAACGTGGTTAATAGTCTTTCTCTTTTTAATATATATATTTAATATGTTTATGTAGGAATAATGTTGTGTGCTAAACATATCTTCTCCAAAACATACCGCCAACCTTCGTCTTTTTCTTTGGGGTTCCATTCTAAATTTTGAGTTTCACAATAATAATTTTCGTATAAACGTTAAACACGGTTGGATTTTAATTATGGTAAACAACAGTGAAGAACTGTTTATATATAAAAAGAGGTATAGAAAAGGTAGGTATAAGAACTAGGGTTCATAGAAAAAAAATATACAAGGTAAAAGAAGAGGCAAAGAAATTTATTTACACCTGTAAAAGCATAGAAATTAAATATAAATAGGTTAAAACACATTTTAAAAATTATAGGTTATGAACAAGTAAACAAATGTCAAATGTTAGAAACCTAACCATGGTTATATGAATTAACTGTGACGTCATGACTTATTTAACCGTAGTATTTCATAGTATTTACGCGAAAAAAACGACTTATTTCGACGTTTTCGACGGTAGAAAACGTAAAAAAGTAGAATACTGTCAAATATCAAAAAATGTGAGGTTATGCAAGTTTGTTGTTTATTATGATTTGTTAAATGTTGTGAAAAATCAGACACCTACCATAAATTTGAAGTTATTTGGAGTTTTTTAACATTATTATGGTGGGAAAAAAAGGGCCACGTTTGGTTAGGAGACCCCAACATAATTTTTGGCATGATGGCAAATTTTTATCATTATAGAGAAGTGGAAGGAGGTCGAATAAGGTAATTTACGTAGGTAGAAAACCCTATAGGTTTTCGACTAGGGTCTACGTGTACGGTTCTGGTTATCGATTGCGGAGATTCCTACTTTCTATTGACGCCGCGGGCCCGGATTGGCGCCATTGCAGCATCAGCTGTTTGCTGTGTTTGCAGTTAAGGCTTGTTTTTAAAAGTCTTTCGACTATTTGTTTTGTGTTTTTATAAATTGTTTTATGATCTGTGTGTTAGACGTGTGGTAGTTTGTTTTCTGTCGGTGCATTTTTCTGTTGATTTTAATTATAAATTATATCATATAAATAGTAAAATAGGTATTGTGTGAGACAATTTGTGTCTGGACTCTAATAAAACTGTGTTTTAAATAATACCCAAGTGATTTTTGGACTTAGAACAATGGCGAATTGTGGAGAATGTAAATTACAATTCTCGAAAATGGCAAATTTAAGGTCTCATGTAAAGAGAAAGCATCCTGGTGGGTATATTTTATTATTTCTTAAGTAGCTATACATAACAAAAGAAAATTAATGGAATAGCAGGATTACATTTATGAACACCTTATTAAAATAATTATTTTTTAGAAAAAATTCATACTTTGGCTCCAAAAGTTGTAAAAAAGGTTGGGGACCATATTTGCAAAAAATGCAATGACACATTTTCAAATTTTGGAAATTTAAGGGTGCATATAAAACGAAAACATCCAGGTAAGTTACATTACATCTAGGGGTAACATGTGTGTTACATATTGTAATCATTAAAACATCTATACTCGCATCTATACTTTTTTTAACTTTTTAGAGCAATTGGAGGAACTAGCACCTATTAAAAGTAAGGTGTTTAAATGCAACTTCTGTGACTTGGACTTTGATACACTTAAAAAACGTATAGTTCACAAGAGAGTTCATGCAGTTGTTAAAATACTAAAATGTCCTTTATGTCAGCAAGGATATACTTCAAAAGAAAACATAATTCAACATTACAATGAAGACCATTTATTACAAATAGAAACAGTAACCTTAGAATTATCTTCCTTCAATGATTTTCTTGCATGGAAGGCCGAAGTTGAGAAAGACACCTTTTCATCTTATATAAATTTGCATGGGTCAGGAAAAAATCCAAACATTAAAAAAATAATGTATGCGTGTCATAGATCTGGTGATATTAAGAAAAGGGGCTCTAATATTCGCTTATTAAAAACCCAAGGCAGCAATAAGATTAATGCCTACTGCCCTGCTCATATAAATGTTATAGTACAAGAATCCAAATGCTTTATAACTTTTTGCAAAACACATGTTGGGCATAGGCAAGAAGAGGACATAGGACATCTTTTTTTGGCAGAGTCAAACCGACAACAAGTAGCTGCAAAAATAGCTGCGAAGATTCCATTTCAGACCATTCTAGATGAAATAAGGGACTCCGTGTCCAACTGTCATTTAGAGCGGATTCACCTACTGACCAAAAAAGATCTCTATAATATCGAAAACAGTTACAACCTAAATAAAACATCTATGCGCCATAAAAATGATGCTGTGAGTGTGGATGCATGGGTGAATGAACTCACTGCAAGTGGTTCAGTTCTATTCTATAAGCCACAGGGTAGTGTATCTACCGATTATCCTATATTGAAGAAAGAGGATTTTTTTCTTGGTATTATGACTGAAGCACAAAAGGATTTGTTATTAAGGTAGCAAACTGTTTATTTAGCTAATATATAATAATAGTAGTTAAGACAGCGGGGTCCTGAGCCAAACTGGATGGCATGTGTTACCATTCAGGATTTTTCAGCAATTCAGTATTTCAGCCAAAGAAGTCCTGAAATACTGAAGAAGTGCTGAAAAACGCCTGAAAAATCCTGAATTGTAACACATGCCATCCAGTGTGGCTTAGGACCCCGCTGTCTTAACTACTAATAATAATAATAATAATTGATTATCATAAATAAATTACAAAAAAATTTAACAATCAAAATGCCATTGACCTAAGTCCTTCAGCCAAGGTAAATTAAGTAACAAATACATCTTTGGCTAATAATAGAAAACCAAACTTTATAATTGGATATATAATATATACATATATATTAGATATATAAATTATATAATATAATATATATATATATAATATAATATATATATTTTTCATTTAGGTAGTTTATAAACTATTCTTTTTTAAGGTTTGGAGATGATAGTATCTGTGTAGATGGTACCCATGGGTTAAACGGGTATGGGTTTGAACTTCATACAATCCTAGTATTAGATGACCTGCGGGAAGGATACCCATGTGCATTTTTGATTTCAAATCGAAGTGATACAGAAATTATGAAAATCTTCTTTGCCTGCATTCGAGATCAAATTGAAAAACAAATTGCCCCCAAAGTATTTATGTCAGATATGGCAGAGGCATACTATAATGCA